ATTATGCTGCCTCTTCTGGATTAGAATTTACATAATGAGCATTATTGTCCTGACAAGGCTCAATTTCTCAGTTATTCCCAAAAATTAAAATACCAAGAAGAGGGCCAAGCCTAGACTTGGTCTTGAATTTTGATGAAGTTGTAGAAAAAGACCTACATGTCCATGGCCACCACTCATTGCTGGTCAGCACAGCACCTAAAGGATTTGTAATAATTGCTGCAGTTCATTGTGATCAAAAATAAAAGCAGTGTGAAAGGAGGGGCTCTCTTCCAAAAGGCATTGTCATTTAAAACAAAAATTGAAGACTTCTCAGGGAAAAAATGGCAGAATAACCTTCGAGTAAGAGGTATTAAGGTACTAAAGGGAGTAACCTTTAAAGCCTGCCTACAAAACGGGTCTCTGAAGTCCTGAATCTTAATAGCAAAGGGAAGGAAGAGAGCACAGAAATACATGAACATTAGCCCAGAAATTTCCCAGAGATGAGGGAGAGTGCAGAAGTTTCTTGCTCAACTATTCATTTTTGGACTCCTAAGTAGCACAGAGTGCAAGAGGAGAGGAAAAAAGAAGGATAATAGGAGGGGAAATAAATCTCCTCCTTTAAATACATTTAGTGGTGTAGTGATAGGAGTAGGATTACACTCAATTTTATCTGAATGGATAACACAGGGCAGGATATTATCTGTAGTTTTCTTAAAATCTCCTCTGAAACAGGGCTTTAGCATTTCTTTCTGCAGCAGCAGCAGCAGCTCTGCTCCCCGACTGTGCCATTTCCCACAGCACTCTGCTCCTCAGGTTAACCCTCAGCAACATGGGCCTCATGGCACAGCCCAGAAAAGAGGAGTTTAACTCAAGGGAGAGATTGAACCAGTGAATAGGGTGGCAGGAGTCCTGAGCTGGTTAATTTGGGGGAAATTATACGAACCACTTGTGTAGAACAGCACGGATCCACCAGGAACACACATGAGCTGAGGCTGCTGTTAACCAGACAGAAGAGAGAGAAGGGATTGCAGGAAGACCTACCTAAAAAATCAGCTATTTGCATTTCCTTGGTTTATGCAGCTGAGAAACCATTCAGCACTTTGCAATGAGTGTTTTTATGTGCACTCTTACCAACCACCACACCCGGAGTTGTGCAGTCCAGAGAGGTTGCAGCTCCTGGCTGCTCCAGCTCAAAAACACACCCAGCCCACCATCACAGGGAGGCAGGAACGGGTGACCCCAGTGAAATCCTGCAGCTCTTTGATCTGAATCTGCCACACACTCACCCCAGTGAATGCCCCATGGCAGGGTTACACCTCCCAGATCTCACCTTCCTTCACGTTCACACCTTATCACAAAGTTGTTACCCAGAGACTGGACTGAGACTGTTTTGTGTGATCTAATAACACAGTGCCAAACATGGGAGAGACAAATAGATGGAGATTAGTTCTATTTCGGTGGCAAACTTCCTACTGGTGCTTAATTAACAATCTTATAACAGCTAATCACTTGGTTGCTCCTACCTCCACTCATTTTCTCGGTGACACCAGGGCACACGACAGGGGTGAGTGGCTGTGCCACGTCTGCTTGCAATAATCCCTCACTTCATGAAGGGCTCTGGTGCCATTAACTGGGTTAATTGGGTTCAGAATTGCTGCCAATCCAGACATCTGTGCTCAGCTGCTGCCACTTAAGAAGAAAAAAGAAGCTAAACACAAGTTCCCCGAAATGCTGCCGATGAGAAACTTGCCTCCAGACAGCTTTTACATCCCAAAGGATTCCTGGAGAGACAGAGGGTATGCAGGGGAGAACCCTCCTTCCTGGCGAGATGTTCCTAGTTCCAGAAGTTATCTCCTGAAACACAATTTCCAGAACATGAACCCCTAATTTCCTGCAACAGATGTGGGAAAAATTCTAGTTAAACGAGACTAGAAATGTAAATGGGCTTTGGCAAGGGGAAAATCTCAAAGGAATTCTTTCAGCCAGCAAAACATTTATTTTCAAGTAATCTTCAATACTGGAGATGTCTCAATTCTTCTTTCTCAGAAAATAATATTGGGTGGAAGAAGTTTTCTGGCTTGGAAATGCTATTCCCTCCTCTTCCTGGCTGAGGTGGGCACAGGCTGAGGAGGCTTTAAGTGCTGTGTGTAGCAGAAGAGTTACAGGTAAATGATAATTTACCTTCCTGAATGTATTGAATTCAACAGCATTTGGTGAAAACTCACAACTAAAGAGATTTTTCTGAGTGAAATTGAGAGGTTTGGGCTTTTTCCTTCCCTGCAGCCAACATTTAATGTGTAACTGTTCTCTGTGATTGACGTTACGTTTCAGAAGAGAGTTTTGTTTTGGGGTTTTTATCTGCTTTAGAGAGTGACACTGAGTTATTTTGTGGGATTAGTAATTTAAGTAATGTGAGTAGGTTGGTTGTCATGATCAGCAGAAGCTAAAGCAGAGCAGCATTTGCTCACTGCAGAGATTCCAGATGATGTAGTGGGCCACAGCAGCTTATTAAATGTGTAATAAGCTCAAGCAACCTACAAAAGGAATCCAACTCCTGTAACACAGGGAAGCAAAGTTCCTAAGCACCAGCGTGTTCCTGTAAGACTCTGAGGTGACATGAGATTATTATAAAGTATTTAGTGAACAGACTTCTAATTAAACACTTGAGTACAGGAAAAAAGAATTTAGGACAGTGTTTTTCTGAGAGGAATTTCAAAGTTTGGCTTAACCATGCCAGTCACTGCTGCACTGCCCTGCTGCTGAGGGGGGAATCAGCCTCTCTGCTTTCACTGCACACCATGTCTTCCAGTCACTAAAGCAGCACCATTTGAATCTGTACGTTGTTTCTGGAGATCTTTCTTGGCTCTCTGTAATTTCCTACACTAAATTCCCCCAGCATCAAAATATTCCCACTTTAATCAGACCCTGCTTTGATTTCAGACACGATTCTCCCGCCTTTGCCTTGCAGACCTTTCTCTCTGCAGCTGCTGTCTCTCAGAGAAATCTCAGCACACCTCTGCCTCCAGCCTCCCCCTTTCATTTGATGGGTTGCTACCACTCTGCAGCGTAAAATAACAATGCTTTTGGCAATTCTTGAGCTGCTGACTTCTACAAAACACATATAACTCATCTACACCATCCTCCCACCAAGACACCACTTCCAGCAGAGTCAGGCTTTGTCTGGATGGTATTTACAGGGGGTGTCCCCCAGGCAACAGAAATCCTGCTCTGCAGAAAGCCCCGTGTGCTGGTTTAATACAAGATGTGTGGATGGGTGATGGAAATCTCCTTGGACAGTGGAAGAAATTGGAAAGAGCTGCAGGGCAGTGAGGGCACTGCCAGGGGCAGCTTCATCAAGGTTCTCAGCTGGGGGGATTCCTGCAGCCAGGGAAGACACTCCTCAGGTTACCAACACCCCCTTGTTCCTCCAGCCCCACAGTACTTCTGGTACTGAGTCCTGCTGCCTCCTGATTCACTTCACCATTATAAAGTGAGTGTTGTTCCTCCCTCCCAAACCCCTCGTGGCTGTTTGAGAGCACGGGGTGAGACTCTGCAGAGGACAGCAATGACATTGGGTCAGGCCATCCTCTGGGGAAGTGAATCATAGAATCCTTAAGGTTGGGAAAGACCTCCAAGATCATCAAATCCGACCTTTGACCGAATACCCCCGTGCAAAGTGCCACTTCTACTCATGTTTTGAACACTTCCAGGGATGGTGACCCCACCAATTCCCCAGGCAGCCTGTTCCAATGCTCAGTCACTCTTTCAGTGAAGAGTTTTCTGGTATCCAACCTGAACATCCCCTGGTGAAACCTGAGGCAGTTCCCAAACCACTGGGAGTCTTCTCCCAGTGTAGGGGTCAGAGGGCACACAATGAACACAATGTACCAAAGGAGCAGGACACACAGGAGAACAGCACAGGAACCAGGACAGAAGACCACAAAGCATGAACTTGCACTGAGTGTTAGCAAAATTTGGGAATCTGCCTCCATTCTACTCCTTGAATCTTCAAAGACTCCATCCCCAATGAAATCCCTGTGCTGGAATTGATGGGGGTCTGCCAGCACAAGGAAAAGAGTCCTTTAGGCCAGATTCCTTAGCATTGTGCTTATTGGGCACTTTTCTGGTTTGGGGACATATGTGCTGTCTCAGGGGGTGTTTAACCATTTTTCTCCAATAGCAAGGAAAAGTTTCTTCATTTCCTTTTGTGGAGAAATATAGTAAGGCCTCTGCTCATGTAAAATGTAAGAAGATGTAATGGAAGTCTCACAATACCCTTTCAAAGTACCTTAATACACACCAGGCAGACTATTTCAGCTGCTGAATTCATTCTACATCCCCCTGCTTTCTGTTCGAAGCTTGTGAAATATGGTGTTTTTATTATTAGGGTGCTGTCATTTAGAGGTTTGACTTCAGTCATTCGTTTAGCAAAAAAACTCTTTGTCCAGCCAAAGAGAATAATTTCATCTCTGTCCAGCTGGGGAATATCTATTGATGCTCTTTGGCTGCAGCTGAAACTGGGGGCAGACCCTGCCACTCATCTTTTATTTTCATCCTATTCCTCCCAACCCATAAAGTTAAACAGATTATTTTAAAATAACCAACGTAAAGAGCTCATTCACTGGCAGAAGCTGGAAGAAAATCTCCTGCTTGCACAGGAGATATTATTCCAGAAGGGAAGGGGCAAAAGAGACATTTACTATTCAATTATAGACCCACTCTTATGCCAACAAAGGTACTGCAAAAATTTGGTCTTGGATTTCCATGTGAAAGAAGTGACTGAGAGCTTTGGGGTGCTGCAGATACAATATGGGCTGCCTTGTTGAAGGCTCGAATTCAAGCCAGATCAGATCTCACTGCAATGAAATAGTAGAAATTTTATCATAAAATACGCACCACGCCCTCTCCCTGGATTTGTAGGGAGTTTGAAAGAAACCTTACACATTGGATTTACAGGGCATTTGAAAGAAACCTTACACACACTGGTTTGTAATGATGATGATGAACTTTCATTATCGTGCTCTAAATACAGAGGTCAGCCAGCAAGAGCATGGCAGGAACAAGAGGGTGTGTCCTTCCACACGTTAGCTGAATACACAGGACTTTCAAAGAAACCATTTCCTTTAAGCTGAAAAGAGGAAAAAAAATATTTGGGTTAATAATTTTGGGCTCCTCTCGCTGCAAACTCTCTGCTCAGAGGAAAAAAAAAGTGCAGTGAAAAGGCAGCGAAATAGCTGTAAAGGGCAGGTTTTGACCTGATAAAATTGGTGTGGTTATTTAGGGAGCAAGTTTTCATTAGGGTTGCTATAGCAATTGGAACAGTTTGACAAAACCTAATGAAGGATTATGACAGAAACAGAGAAAGATATAAGCCATCAAAAGCTGTAGGAAGAGAAGCTTCACGGGTTTCCAAGCAAAATCCCTCTGGAAGTAGCCTGATCTCCCTGGAAGATATCACAGTCATTTCAAACATCTCTCCAGGGTATTCAGTGAGCAGTGATAGCAATACAGAACCGAGTGCCCTCTCCACTGCAGAGTTACTCACAGATTTTCCCCTCTGAGAGCCACACTTAGTTATTAAGTGCTTTATTATAGCAACACTTGGCACTTGCATGGCACTGCTCATCACAGGGCACTGCAGAAGTTGCTCCTGATGCTGAGTGTTAACCTGCTCAAAGAGGTATCAGACACGTCCTGGGGCTGAGTAAACTGAGCCAGAGACATTAAAGGACCTTCCTGCAGCCTTTCCAGGGATGAAGCAGGGAAGGACACGATGTGGGGAGCTCCCAGAGCCCAAACAAACCCCACAGCACACGAGCAGGGGGGACCTGCAGAGCTCTGCCCCAGGGTGAGCAGCTGAGCTCCTGCTGCACAGCAGAGCCTCTCCGAGGTGGAAAATCAAAGCTGCTCTCTGGGGAGGTTGTTCTCAGCTCAAACCCTCCGTGGGGCTAAAAGTGATTCTCAGGAGCTGCATAACAATATTTATTCCATTATGGAATGCCCAGCACAGCCTCTCTCACTGGGTTTTCCCTCAGATCTGAGACTGAGAAAAAAACTTGCCTTCAGGTCAGCAGAGGAAATTCTAAACAGTTCTCAGCCAAGTCAGCAGGCACCCAGCTGTCCATCCCTCACCTGACTCACCTCCAGGTCCCTCTTGTTTTGCTCTGCCCTTATGGTCAGAGCCCTCATTTCCAAAGGTATTTGCAGACCTTCAGACCTCCAGCCAGCTCTTAGGGGGAGAACAGCACTGCTGTGAGGTGGTTGTGACCCTTGGCTCCATCACTGGGCAGAGCTTCATCAAGGGACAGACCCTCAAATGACAGACACCCACCTGCAGCAGGGGCTGAAACAATTCCTGCTTTGCTGGAGGCTTCTGAACAGTGTCTTTACAGCATAAAAATCTGAACCAACAATAAAACCTCTCCTTGACATGGCTTGACTGAAATTAATGGAGTTAAATGGAAGATAACTTAATTCTGGGCTTTTTGAAGCTGCTAACCCTAGAAAAGCCCCCAAAGCCTCCTAGAGTTGCCTAAGGAAACTATAAATCACGACTTGAATTTAAAAGTAAAATTCTTTCTTATTTTGCCAGAACTGGGGGATCAGGTCCTGGGCCAGCCAGGACCAAGCAGTGCAGTGGAGAACATGCAGAGCTTCCCTCTGCTACAGGAAATAACAGACCAAGCATGTTTCCCCAACATTTCTGCTAACAGCTCTATAAATGAATTGTCTCTGTTCGAATGTATCAGTCTGGTGTTGAGCGTCTGGAACGTGCCTGAGCATCGAAAAACGTATTTTGACATTAACTTTGTTTCTGGCAGAAAAACTGCAAAATATTTAACACGTTGGAGGCCTTGATGCATCAAGGCAGTTTGTTAACTGTGCTGTGGTGGCTCTGACTCACTGCTGAAAAATTACCTTCAGACTGCCTCAGTCAGACAGACGCAAAAGCAAACAGAGAGTTGGCTCTCTGGGGTCAGTGCAGAGGGCAGAGAGAGCACAGAACACTCAACTATTTACTGGTTGCTGCATTAAACCTCGTTTAATCTCCATCACAGGTGATGCCCCACTTGAACCAAAGCCATGAGCCTGCTGGGTGCTGTGTCTGTGCTGAATTTTGGCAAGGGCCTGGAGTGACAGGGCAAGGGGGAATGGCTTCCCACTGCCAGAGGGCAGGGATAGATGGGATATTGGGAAGGAATCCTTCCCTGGGAGGGTGGGGAGGCCCTGGCACAGATTGCCCAGAGAAGCTGTGGCTGCCCCTGGATCCCTGGAAGTGTCCAAGGCCAGGCTGGACGGGGCTTGGAGCAGCCTGGGTTAGTGGAAGGTGTCCCTGCCCATGGCAGGGGGTGGAACTGGATGAGCTTTAAGGGCCCTTCCAACTCAAACCATTCTGCAATTCTGTGTTTTCTCGCCCCAGACCTGGAGAAACACTGGTTTAAATTCAGAAGCACAAGCTTTTAATCTCCCTCCAGAAAGTTTTTCTTACTGTTAACTTCAATAACTCTGGCTATTTCTCTTTGTCATATCAGATGGCTGATCCCTCTATCAGGTTCAAGTCCTCAGCCTAAACGCTGGGCCACAGCATTCCCACTTAGCATTTAGACTAAAGACTCAGCACTGATAGGGGGATTAGACATTTTATATTGCCATGTTTCATATTCTAATGTGTTTGAGTCCAGACAGTGATTTCCTTTGCACGCTTTTGGATTGCTGCCTTTCAGTCTCAGTTTAAGTTGCTTCGTGCCTGCACAAAGGGATGGGGAAAATGGCATTTCCCAGCCAACGTGAGCACATAATGTGCTCTTGAGCAGAAAATGGAGAAGAAAAGACACTCTTTCCATTTTGCATTATTCATTCAGCTTCAGCTACTGCTCTTGATACCCATTGCAAGCACATGCAGGTGTGGGAGGGAGCTCCTGCCACCTATTTATCTCTTTGTCTTGCAGTTGGCCCAGCCTGGCTCACCAGTGAATGCCACTTTGGAGGCAACCATTGCTAATTTATGAGTTTCAACTCACATCTCCCTTGTTCAAAAGGAAGGTGATAAATTTAAAAGAGGTCCATAATCTAATCATTTCTACAGAAAAAGACTTAATACATGGAAGGGCATGAGCAAGTCCTAAAGATGAATATATAAAATTGTAGTGGTGAACATAAGAGGGTTGTATATTAATGATCTGCAACATTTTGTACAGAGAGATTACAGTTTGGTTCTCAGTTATAATATCCTTCCTTTCTGAATGAAAAGTCTTGCACAGTGATTACCAAGAAAAGGGAAAGGAACTTCTTTGTCTGGATGGGCTACAATAATACATTGTATTATTATTATTATTATTATAATATACACCTAATAAGGTCCTGTTTCACTTTTCATTTCTTAAAAGACTTTATTTTGGGTAACAAACCCTTACAGGACATTTGCAAAGAATCTAATGCCCAACACAGTGTTATCCTGACAGCACAAAGACATTTCTCTGATAGCATGAGGCAATTTGGAAAAACAAAAGAGAAAACAAACAAACAAAAAACTAGTGGTAAGGAGAAAGAAATTCTGGTTTCACTTCTTCAAAGGAATGGGGAAGGGAGGTTTTGTGATGCTTGAGGGAAGTAAACTCAGCAGGTGAGGATTTTAGATTGTTCCAAGCATGTCAGTGACAGAAGAATGAAAAACGTGCACTTACTTCTCTGTGGGAAAGCAAAAATCCACAGAGCTTGGGCCAGGTCTGCTCTAAGGAGGCTCTTGGTGTGGCAGAGTCAGGCCCCTGCCTGCTCAGAGAGGTGCTGAGTGGTTTGGCAGTGATGAAAATGAGAACTATGAATCCTCCTACGAGGGGTCATTCTGACTTCAGAACAGGCACCTACAAAATATGTGCATGTCTCAGGGTTCAAATCTAAACACAGCTTTTCATTTCATCATTAAGCTCAAAATTTATGATTTTAAAGTAACAAGGACCTGATTTTGCTGGAGAAAAATAACTATATCTGGGGGAAAAAAAAAAGTTTTCTAAAAAAAAAGCCCAGCCCCTCTGAGTGGGGAATTGCTCAGAAAACACGAGGAAACAACGATAACAACAGGAAACAAAGCAGGAAACTTTGATTAACTTAAAAGATAACAATCACAGCATCTCCCAAACACTTGCCTTCATTTCCCTGCCTGCCAAGCTTCTCTCTGCTATTAATGTTCACTCCTACACCTCCCACTTCTCCAGGGTCACCATGGAGTGACTGCCTACAATATGTTTGGCACAGTCTGGAGTGAAGGGGTCACAGCATTAGACTGTCATTTTCTTAGAGCTTCAAAACAGCCCTAAAAATAAGAAGTAGCAGCATTTGGGGGGAAGTTTTCAACATATGGCTACATGAGCAGATTTTAAACATATGGGCTATCAAATGCATTCAAGATGTGTTGAAGCCCATCCAGTGATCCCCAGTCAGTTATTACAGGAGATTTCATGAGATGAAGGGGAGAGGTGCCCTTTTCAGTCTCACAGCCAGTCCAGGGGCACTTCATCCACAGAAGGATTAGAATTCACCTCATTTAAAGGATATTCATTCATTTATCACCTGGGAATTTGTACAGTAAGAAACTCACCTTTGGGATTTCTCATCTTTGGTTCTCATCCTAAATAATATCCTTTTGCTATTAAAGAAAAAAAATAACAGTCAAAATATGCATTTAAATTAACTTCACACAGGACATACAGGTGAGCTGGTTCATCCACCCTCCCTTAAAAATGAAAGCAACAGGAGATATTGTGGATTGTATTATCCCACTGGGAGACAGAAATAAACCCTAATGCAGAAACTTAAATCACGACTCACAATTTACTAAAACAAAGCAAAACCAGAAGGAAATATTGTATCTTCTCTTTCTCTGGCAATATCTAACATTAAAATGACAGCAACAGCAACTCATAACTATGAAGAAGTAACTGATGAAAGTCGATTTTTTATGATACCAAAAAAATTTTATGTAAAACTATAACATTTTTTCCTCTAAGAACTATAGGGCTTCCTGTTGTCTTAAGTATTACAGTGAATCAAGAAAATTATTTGTTTGAGCAGCTGAACTAATGAGTGGCTTGTAGCAGCATTTTTCCCATAACACAACTCCAAGTAAAGACGTCTGTCTTGTGCAACAGATCCTCACCCAGAGAGCTGCCAGCAGTTGTCAATTAACTGTCATTTGTAGATTATTAACAACTAACTCAGAGAAGTTGCTTAGCTTGAGCATTTCAGTGATGGACTTCCAAAGAGAGAGGTTTTTCCTTCTGGTTCCCCCCCCCCAATCCTCTCCATTTCATTTTGCCTTTTCCTGAGCTTTGCCACCCACCCCTGGCAGCAGGTGAATGCAGCTCCTGCTGCAGGGGGTGTTATCCAAGTGCTCTCTGGGATTCCTTCACAAATGTCAGCTCTGGTGCTCGAGTCAGCTCCAGGGAATCAGGGGAGAGAACAAAATCCTGAATTTCTCCAGGAGCGCAGCTGAGATGCATCACTGGAAACCTGACTCTGCCCGGTGAAGACTCACAAACAGGTTCATAAATCAGACTGTGGGAAGAGAGGTCGTGGGGTGTCCCTCACTGGAGGTATTCCAGAACCATCCGGATGCAACCCTGGGCAATGTGCTCCAGGAAGACCCTGTTTGAGCAGGGAGGTGAGACCACATGACCCACTGTGGTTCCTTCCAGCCTGATCCACTCTGTGTTTCTGTGAAGTGGATAAAAGGCTGTTCACCTCCTGAAAATCAAATAGAATATGAGAGGGGAATTAGGGGCAGAGACCAGGCATGGTAGTTTAAAAGAAAAAAAAAAAAACAGAGAGAAAGAGAGAAAAAAAGACATTTTTGTAAAGAAACAGCACCGTGTTGGAAGAAAGCTCGTGCTCCAAGGGTAGCAATCCCTTTACAAACACCTCCCTTTGCAACCACCTCCTGTACATCCACACCAACTTCAGCAATGAAAGAATCAACAAACAGCTCACAGTTTCTGCCAGGTGACTTCCCCAGAGGGAACAGCTGGGGCTCGACATCCTTCACTGAGCTTTTGCTTTACAAGGTTCATTAACACTTACAGAGAGTGCAGAAAAGTTTGGGTTTCACCTCCAGCAACCTGCTCACGGGCACTGCTGGTCCCTGCCAGGCTGGGGAGAGGGAACAGCCAGGCTGGTGGCCAAGGGCTCTGCCACATTCCCAGGACACGGGAGGAGCAGAACAGACAGAGGGGGATGCACACGTGGCCTTTCCTACACCCCTCACGAGGGACAAACTGAATTCAGAGGCTGCATTAAGTGGAAGAGTAAAAGTGGAAGGTCATTGGGACAGTAATAAACACCAGGCAATGTTCAAAACAAATAAAGAGGCAGAAAGTGTGGGAAGCAGCAGCACCTTTGAACAGATTGCCATGGTAAAAGCAATGCGTTAGGAGAAATGGTATTAGGTACCTTGGTCAGAGCTCTGGAGTGTTCTCTTTAGCAGGAATATTATTCTGTCCATTCCCGAGGTCCAAAACCTTTGATTTATCCTCAATTTTAAGCCGTGTCTCGGGGTGACATTGGCTGGGCACCAACACTTGCTTCCTGCCTGTGGGCACAGCTGGAGGTTCAGAGCCATCAGCAGCATCCCCACAGGGCAGGTTTCCTGTGTGCTGGGGCTGGTCCCTGTGGCCACAGCCCAGCTCTGTGTCCTGCTCTGTGTGCCCAAAGGGAGCATCCCTGCTGGCCCAGCCCTGCTCTCCCACACTGAGGGGCTGCTGCCTGATCTCCATGTCCAGTGTGTGACACCTGTGAAAAGAGACAAGACCTATTCTCTCCCTTGCCCTTTATGCAACAAAATGCATTGTGCTCTCAGATGGAAATCTGAGCCATGGCTGCATTTAAGCTTGTTAGTTTTGTCTGCTTATTTAGCCCATGGTTTTCTTACCCTTTTACCATCTTTTATCCCACCCCGCTGCGTGTGTGAGGGGGAGGTTTGGCTGAAGGTCGTTTACACAGGAGCTGTCAAGCACATCTGAGCCCAGCCCCACAGGATGTCCCCAGCCAGCAGCTTCCAAGAGTCCCTGCAGCATCCCCATCACAGCCCTGTGCAGAGCCAGGCACGGGGGAACTCACCCCTCCATCCCACGAAGTCAGTCCCTGGCTCATATCAACATGCAACAGGAAGATTAATCTGTGGAGGAGATATTTGAAAGGGTAACATGACAACTGTCACAGTTCCTTCCCAGCAAAACTCTCCACTGAGGAGAGGCTGAGGAAGCAAAGCGTGGGACGTGACCCTCAGCAGAGGAGACTCTTTAGAAAAAGTCAGATTTAATTGAAGCCCTTGGAAGCCCTTCATTTCTGAGAAGTGGGCCACATTTTCCCAACACTGAAAACAAGAGCTGTGCAGTGGAAGCATGAAATTTAAAACTCAAAAGAAGGACTACAATACACAGTAAGTGCAAGCAGCCGTTGAATTCCTTGGAAAAGCAGAACCAGAAGGATGGTTTTCCCTGGGAGCACCTTTTCCAGACTGCCTGATTGATCTGATACTTATGATTTAAACAGCTACAGCTTCTGGACATTACTACAACTCACACCAAGTGACTCAAACACCACATGGTTCACAAATAAATCTAAAATACTCAGCTGGACCAAGGCATTTTTTTTTTTGTGAAACCAGGCAAACAAATAAAATGCTTAGGGCAGAAAAGCCACAGAACACTGAGGGATAAGAAAGAGGTACCTGACACAGGGTTTCCACGTCACAGAGTAATTGTTGACCAAATTAGAGATGGGATCTCTTTTGTTAAAGCATTTGGGAGAGCTGTTCCTTCTGTGGGCAGCAGTCATGGGGGGACACATGGGCTTGCACAGTGTGAGCTCCACACTATCCCTGGTGCAGTCGAAACTGGGGTTTTATATTATTAGTTAGATGAGTGTTTCCACCTGAGTCACCAAGAAAAGCAAGGATGCCTCCTCCAAACACTCCCAAAGCATTTGCCCGTCCATGCTGGAAACCAGGTTCTGTTTGGGCGTGGCACAACCAGATTTCACCCAGTGCTCACTGCCCACAGCTTATCTTCCTCTGTTCTCACCTATATTCAGAGCAATTTATCCCTCATCACCCCATTACTGCCAATTTTGGAGCCCTGGCACCTCGAGGCAATGACTTTTTCCACGTGCCAACCATGACAGGGCCCAGCTTGGCTGTCCTCCAGCCTTCAACATAACACAGAGCTGTTCAATAAAACCCAACAGCCTCTGGTGAAACCCCACTGCCCACCAACCCCCCTGTGAGACACACGGCAAACAGGCAGATCCCAAACACACAAAAAGCTTCATGGCAGGACAAACCACGTCCTGTACTCTTTGAACACACTTCATGTTATAAATCACCCATGAAGGTGATAAATGTGTGCACTTTAAACAAGCTCCACGCTCTGCTCAGCGGGGCTGTTCAGCAGAACAAAGTTCTGCCGGGGGGCAGCTGAGCTAAAATCAGTGCGTTGCTCCTCTTGGTGCTTTTGTGCTCGGGATGAGTGGGCAGCAGGAGGGCTTCCCAACCCACCACGTGGTTTCTGCTTCACCCTGCAAAGCCTCCCTGCCACGTCTGCCTGAATTGGTGCAGAGAGCAAAGGGCTGGGCAGGTTTCAGGCAGGTACCCACAGAGACAGGGCTGGGATGGGCTGTTGGGTTTGGCACTCGAGGTTGTTCCGGGCAGTCGGTGACACTCGTCATTCTGTCACACCAACTCCCTTCCTGACACCTTCATCCCATCACCTGGAAGGTTGTGTTTGACAGGGAAGATCATTATCTGGTTCTGTCAGCTGCTGTTTGATCTCTGTGTTCTGTTCCAGAGAGATTTGTCTCATAACAATGACTTTGCTGAGGGCTGTCCCTCCGTGCTGCCCGTCTGTAACACCCCTCCTATTGCACCCCCTGGACGAGGCCTGACACTCACAACAAACACCACTGAATTAAACCTCTGCTGTAAAGTAAGCAAGCCCTATTATACCCAATTTTACAGCTGGGTAAACTTACATACTGCAGACACTTAAATGACTTTCCACAGCATCACAGAAGGAGCCATGAAGGCAGAGGGCCTGGAAAAGTCCAGCTCTCAGTCACTCACTGCAGGCCCCACTTTGAGAAAATAAATTTATTAAGCCTGTGTTTAATGCTAAGCTTATGAGCAAGGGGGCATTAAGCCATTACAGAGCTCACTTCTTTCAACATGCCAAAAACCTGCTGCCAGCCAGCAAGGACAGGGTGTCAGTCGTGCCTTCCACTGTCCCCACAGTCAGAAGGCAGTGGTGATTTTTGGCTTTGTGGCAGAAGGATGTGACACTCCTGGCTTGTGACACAGAGTGGAGGAAAGCACGCTGGGACAGGGGACACATGGGACCCATCTGACCCCAAAACTTATGGGAAAGCTACTGTAAGGCAAGCAAAGAGATAAGAAGTGATGCTGCTGTCAGGAGCAGGACAGAGTGTTTCAGATGTCCCTTGTAGGGATGACATCCCAGGGTTTGCTTTGCTTTGAAAAGCATCAGTCTCCAAAGATGAGCCAACTAACCTGGGGTAGGCATCACAGGAGTCACCTCCTCAGAGATGACATGTCCATGGTGGCCTTGGAGCAGAGCATGGAGACTTCCTTTTCCATACTCCTCCCACTGCCAGATTACTAACACTCCCATTTTTTCATTACCATCCTTTTTTGCTCACCTGACTGCAAACAGAGGCACTTTCCCTTCTCAGAGCCCAGTTCATGCTCTTAGTTTCACTCCCCAGTGCTGCTGTCACCTTTTTCACATCCCAGGTCACGGAAGCTGCAGTTACATCACAAACCTTGGATTGCCATCGTGGGCAGAACGAACAGAGCTGCATCTTTTGCCTGAATCACTCACCATTCCCCAAACCTTCTGCCAGAGCTGCGAGACCAGCACTTCAGAAATAACCCTGCCTGAGTTCCTGACCGAGGAGAGCTGCCCATCGTGTGGGACTGGTTCTTTTCCTCCCGGTTTCAGCAGCTGGACAAGGAAGGACAAGCACCAACGCGCCCTTTGCTCACCAAAACACGCAGGGAAAGCTCTCCTTCCTCGCTCCAGGTGACATTGCACCCCAGGCAGGTGCTGTGGTGTTAAACTCCCCCAATGCACATCACACAGAGGCGAAGGAATGAGCTCTGTTCCATCACGTGAAAACTTTACAGCCAGAAAACTCGGGCACGTGTCGGTGCCTCTGCAATTCCATCCTCTCTCCC